GCCGCCAGACAGCGCACTATGCCAGGCGCGGCTCGGGTGCTTGCATAGGGCCCTTGGCGTAGGCGCTCTTGACGCCGGTTTTGCGCATCCACGACACCAGCCGCGGCAGAGTAATGTTGTATTTGCGGGACGCCTGGAGTGGGAGAGGCGCATCATCATTGAGCCGGCCATTACGTCATAACAGTGGCAGCGATCGCTTCGAACAGAGGGGCGCCATGGCTGAGTCGCTGGCGCCATCGGCTCCCACGTGCGGCGGCCGGGTTCGAAACCCCTGTTATACCGCGGCCACTTAGCACCCCTAACCACAGTGGCCGTTGACGCCCTCCGAAACGGCGCGCCAAGACGCGCATCGTATTCCTTTCGGCAAGGGAGTAAAACAGTGATGTAATGATGTAATGAGTGGGAGTAAAACAGTGATAACTGTCACTGCCGTGCCCTCTCACATTCGATGAGCGAGGCCAGAGCACATTAGCAAACATGCCTAAACCTCCACACGCAGGGCCTATCTGAAGCCCAGTTATTTAAGCCTTCCACTGAATTTGGTCACTCCAACAGTGCTCTACACACACCGGATTTCACAGGACCACAATCTGTCCCGGCAGGTTTCCGACAGGGCGAGCGGCGACGGCAGCCCCGGCTGACCGCCAGCAGGGGCCGACAGGCCGGCGCCGGCGGCGCACCGTCCGGCCGGTGGGCAGCACTCACCTTTGACGCGGTGATGGTGCCGGAGCGGATCTCCTCCAGGGCGTCCCGCATCTCGGCGCTCATCACACCGCGGGGCTTCCGCTTCCCTGGCGGCCGAGAGGGACGGACGCACAGTGAGCAGCGGAGAGCAGCAGCACCAGGTAGGAGCGTGCGGGCGAGGGCGGAGGAGCAGTAGCACTCAGGATGGGAGGGAGCGCGCGGGGACGGGGGAGCAGTAACACTCAGGGTGGGAGGAAGTGGGCAGGGGGAGGAGCAGCAGCGCCCAGGGTGGGAAGGAGAGGACTGGGGAGAAGCAGTAGCACTCAGGGTGGGAGGAGAGCGGGCAGGGGGAGGAGCAGCATCGCCCAGGGTGAGAGCGATAGGGCAAGGGGAGGAGCAGCAATGCCCAGGGTGGGAGGGAGAACAGGATGGGCAGCAGCGCCCAGGGGGAGGGAGAGTGCAGGGGGAGAGGCAGCAGCGCCCAGGGTGGGAGGGAGAGGGTAGGCATGGACGAGCACCAGCACACAGGGTGGGAGAGATCAGCAGCAGGAGCAGAATGGAAGACGCACCAGGTGGCGATTCTGTATTCAAGTCAAGCAATTCATTATCAATATTATTTTTAACTGCTGACGCACGTAAAAGACATGCTGCCAAACACAACAGGGCGTCTACACAAAAATGCTTTCAAAACACGACCATGTTGAGCTTCACTAAGTTAAAAAAGGCCATCATCCAATGCAATAGCTCATTCGCGCAGCCTTCTCGACACTAAACAAGTTATACCCATCATATCGCATGCGTTTGTAGTGTTCAACACCAAAAACTCTGTAAGGTCAAAAACAAATAGAGACTTGACACCCCATGAATGAATGTAGCTGTGCCCCGTTGCCCGTGGGCGGAGACAGCGGCGGCGGGGGGGGCGGGGCGGGGGCAGGGCAGGGGCAGGGTAGGGTAGGGGTAGGGGTAGGGGTAGGGGTAGGGGCAGGGGCAGGGGCAGGGGCAGGGGTGGGACGGGGCGGGGCACGACAGACCTTCGCGGCGGGTCCCACGTACCTGCCATGCCGACGCGTCCGCGCGCCTTGACACCCTGGCGCCGCATGTTGACGTACAGCGTCGGAATGGGGATGTCGTACTGGATGGACGCCTCCGCCACGGTAATCAGGCCGGCCGAAATCTGCTGCAGCGCCGCCAGCACGTGCGGCGAGTCGGGCGTGTTGCGCTTCGACGTGCCTGCCGCACGGGGAGCCGAGGTCACTCATGTTACCAGCGCCGGGGTCACTGACAGCACCAAGACCGGGGCCACTCACGTCACGGCACCGGGGTCACTGACAGCACCAAGGCCGGGGCCACTAATGTCACCAGCGCCGGGGTCACTGACAGCACCAAGACTGGGGCCACTCATGTCACAGCACCGGGGTCACTGACAGCACCAAGACTGGGGCCACTCATGTCACGGCACCGGGGTCACTGACAGCACCAAGGCCGGGGCCACTCACGTCACGGCACCGGGGTCACTGACAGCACCAAGACTGGGGCCACTCATGTCACGGCACCGGGGTCACTGACAGCACCAAGACTGGGGCCACTCACGTCACGGCACCGGGGTCACTGACAGCACCAAGACTGGGGCCACTCATGTCACGGCACCGGGGTCACTGACAGCACAGGCCGGGGCACTCACGTCACGGCAGGGGGTCACTGACAGCACCAGGCCGGGGCCACTCACGTCACGGCACCGGGGTCACTGACAGCACCAAGGCCGGGGCCACTAATGTCACCAGCGCCGGGGTCACTCATGTCACCAGCGCCGGGGTCACTCTTGTTACCAGCGCCGGGGTCACTCATGTTACCAGCGCCGGGGTCACTCATGTCACCAGCACCGGGGTCACTGACAGCACCAAGGCCGGGGCCACTAATGTCACCAGCGCCGGGGTCACTCATGTCACCAGCGCCGGGGTCACTCATGTTACCAGCGCCGGGGTCACTCATGTCACCAGCACCGGGGTCACTGACAGCACCAAGGCCGGGGCCACTAATGTCACCAGCGCCGGGGTCACTCATGTCACCAGCGCCGGGGTCACTCATGTTACCAGCGCCGGGGTCACTCATGTTACCAGCGCCGGGGTCACTCATGTCACCAGCACCGGGGTCACTGACAGCACCAAGACCGGGGTCACCCATGTCACCAGCGCTGGGACACTCATGTCACCAGCGCCGGGGTCACTCATGTCACCAGCGCCGGGGTCACTCATGTCACCAGCGCCGGGGTCACTCATGTCACCAGCACCGGGTTCACTCATGTTACCAGCACCGGGGTCACTCATGTCACCAGCGCCGGGGTCACTAACAGCACCAGGACCGGGGTCACTCACGTCACCAGCACCGGGGTCACTCATGTCACCAGCGCCGGGGTCACTCATGTCACCAGCGCCGGGGTGACTCATGTTGCCAGCGCCGGGGTCACTCATGTCACCAGCACCGGGGTCACCGACAGCACCAAGACCGGGGTCACTCAAGTCACCAGCGCCGGGGTCACTGACAGCACCAAGACCGGGGTCACTCATGTCACCAGCACCGGGGTCACTCACAGCAACAGGATCGGGGTCACTCATGTCACCTGTGCCGGGGTCACTGACAGCACCAAGACCGGGGTCAATCATGTCACCAGCGCCGGGGTCACTGACAGCACCAAGACGGGGGTCACTCATGTTACCAGCACCGGGGTCACTGACAGCACCAAGACTGCGGTCACTCATGTTACCAGCACCGGGGTCACTGACAGCATCAGGACCGGGGTCACTCATGTCACCAGCGCCGGGCCCAGTGACAGCATCGGGACCGGGGTCACTCAAGTCACCAGCGCCGGGGTCACTCATGTCACCAGCACCGGGGTCACTGATAGCATCAGGACCGGGGTCACTCACGTCACCAGCGCCGGGGTCACTGACAGCATCAGGACCGGGGCCACTCATGCCACCAGTGCATACAGGCCGGCACAAGGAAAGCTCATCAGCGTTCGTGTTTGCGCTGACATGGACAATGGCTGTCTTGCAACGCTTGTAAGCCGAGCAAAAGTGTCAGTCACGGTGATAACGGTGTACTGTGGTAGACGGACCCGGCACAGCCGTGGTGATCCGGCTTGGAGCCGCCCGCAACAACGCGGAGCTCCACACGACGCTCCGCCGACCAGAAGCGATGCGCCGGTACATAATCCCTCAACGGTAACAGCCCGTGTGAGCTGCGAGACGCTAAATCGGGCCCCCCGGCATCCGTGCGCTTCGCGAAACCCTTCCGGTGGCGGCGCAATGCGCCAAGTTAGATACCGCACCAGCAGCGCCGTGCCAGTATTTTGTGAGCCGTAGCCGGCATGACGCGGCCGGTTTTTCACCCTCGCCGCGCGGCAGCTATTCTGGCTGGAATCATTGGCAGGGGAGGAGGGGCGGGCACCCCTTCGCAAGCGTCCCCAAACTGAGCGAAGTCACGAAGCAGACACCCGGTGGAGAGCCCGGGCTCCAACGACGTCCGGTTTAACCCAGAGGCGAAACGGTGGCCATAGAGGCCACGTAAACATTGGAGCTTAAAAACAAAGTGGTAAATACATCTCTCGGGAATAAAACAGCCTCATTTCTAGCTGAGAGGGATGACAACTGCGCCGTGGATAAGACTGGGTGCGAAGAAACTTGGCTAGGAACCCCCTGAGGTCGGAGAGTGCCATCATTCGTCACTTATGTCGCTTGACTTTGAAAAGGTCATTGCTCCATCCAAAATGACCCGCACGCTCGGTGATTCTCATTCGATTTAATTAAAGTACTCGCCACACCACTCCATGCCAACGATACCTAAAACCATGTCATAAAAACGGTCTTGCACGCCTTCACAGACAGCATTGTATCCAGGGAAATGCAATGACCTGGGAATATTTTTCACATGAGCAACAAAATATATAGCCAGCTTTGCTAACTTTCACGGCACGCCATTTATCAACGTTCCAACGCATCGACAATGCTATCTAGGGGAGGGAGGAGACATCCACCGGTCTTGACTGGCGGAGACTGATGATAAAGACGCCGTTGCGCCGTGTTAAAGACGCTGTCACCACCGAGGCCCAAAACCAGTACAATCCAGACAGCTTCACACCCTGGCCAGCGACACTGGCTAGTTTGAGAACCCAGGGCCGGTACCATTTGTTGTCTCGTTAAGACCCCGCCAACGTGGCCCTGCCACTTTGAGGGCCCCGCCGAGCGGCTTCGAGCAGTTTGAGAGCCCCAGCGGGCGTGACTCAGCCGATCGGCCGGGGCTAAGCAAACAGATTCGGTCAAACCACGCGAGGGCGGCACACAAAACAGCCAGCGCTGCACCTGTCGGACAAAGCGGGCCCGGCGGCGGGCGGGCGGGTAGACGGACGGACAGACAGGCCACACCGCCGGCCGACTGTGAGTCCGCGGCACGGCGAGAAGGCGCCGCGGCCGGCCGGCATCCAACTCCCGCTGTTACGGTCCAAACAACACTCATCGTGAGTTCCGCGATTCGACCTTTATACATACGTGGCATAGCGCGGCGGGTGACGCACGTGATGGCGCGGCTCCAGAACGAGGCAAAACACAAGCCCTCGATACTGACTCTACGCACCGCAGCGGCCTTATGCGTCGTTGCACACTGTCCACTGCTTCTCGCACCCCAGAGACAAGCTCTCCTGCAGCTGTACGGACACTCACCGAAGCCGGGCGGGTCGGCGATGCCAGGCAGGAAGAAGTGGCCGTTCTGGTAGGGCAGCAGAGGCGGCGGCGGCCGGCCAAGCGCCCGACAGGACCTCGGGCGCGTCGCGCGGCGGCGCCAGCGCGCCATGTGGCGACGCCAGCGAGGGGTGTGGCGACGCCAGCGAGGCGTGTGGCGATGCCAGTGACACGTGTGGCGGCGCCATCGAGACGTGTGGGCGGCGCCAGCGAGGCGTGTGGCGGCGCCAGCGAGGCGTGTGGCGACGCCATCGAGACGTGTGGCGACGCCATCGAGACATGAGGCGGCGCCAGGGAGGCACGCGGCGACGCGTCATGACGCTCCGGTGATGCCTCCCGGCCGAACTCGGCCAGCAACGCCGCCTGCCGGACAGCGTTGCGTCAGAGATGACCGCATCAGCGAGGCTCGCAGCAGTCGTCGAGACGACCATCAGATCTACCAAACCACGCCTGCCTTTTTGGTTTCAGCTTCTTGTGGTGGTTTGGGCTCAATAAAGGGGGGACTCCAGACAAAGAAAAGAAGGACAAGTGTGGGGAAACATTGGAAGCACAATAATATCACATAAAGCTACCAAACTCCACTCAAAACCTGCCAACATATACATGTAGGCCTTGACACATGCTGGGCTTGACGCGGGAGTCAGACTGACAACATGTAGCGGGTTGCATGTCGTTTTGTCTTGCGCGTCTTTAAACACTCGTAAAGCAATGTTCTAATCCACGTGACTAACGAAGCTATAAATGCTGTGCCGACGCATCAGCGTATTAAGGGTTCAGTAACTATCCCTATCACGGGAATGTCTCCAACGTAATCCATCGCTTCAAAGTAAAAATGCAAGACCTAAAACCCTGACAATAGCTCGGGAGCCCAAAACATTCTGGTGATCTCGCAAAAGCACCGCAACCAGCGCGTCAAAATTATGTTCTAATGGCGTCAAGTTCACCTGTGCTTCACATCTTTGTCATATGAGCGTCACGTAATGCAGTACGACCACCAACTGATGGTGATTTAAAAAGCAGGCAAAACACCTGGGAATTGGGATGGTCCCGAAGAAACCGAAGAATGATAAGTCATTTACACCTTATAGCTAACCTCATCCACAACCTAGTGTTTACTCCTACGAGTGTATCAGGCAAACCCCTCCGGCTGTTACTCCATGATCTCCATCCACTTCTATCACGTCCCACAGCCACGACGAATCCGAACGACTGGACTCGAACAGAGCGTGCGACAACAGACCAAAGAGAAACCGTCACACTTCCTGAGCACAGTCGACACTTTCACCACACGTTCCGGCACCAGCGCCCCACGCCCAGTACCTCTCCCTAGCCGGAGCGACATATGAACCCCTCTCCCCGGCCGCGGGAGCCCGGGCCCTCCCCCGGGTCCGGGTGACGCCGACGGGTGACGCCGGCGCGGTCGGCTCATCGGCTCGCCTGTCGGCCGCCGGCAGCGGCGTGACTGGCCGGCCGGCCATGACGCGGCACATCGTGACCGAGAGCGGGCCGAGCGCGAGCGCGCGCGCTGCCCGCTCTTAGACGGCTTCCTGCCGGCTGACGACGCCAGCCAGACGGCCCGGCCGCCGACGCTCGGCCGCGCCGGCGCAGATGACGGGCGCCGACGCCGAGCACGGCGGCAGCCGGCGGACGACGTAGTGTCACCCGGCTCGGGCGACAGGGGACGCCCCGGGCGGGAGACGGCACCCTGCAGAGCCGCGGGCTCACGCGCGCAGCTCGCCGCTGTCAGAACCCTCGCCGGTCCGAGGTCACTGACCCCGAGACCGCTGCAGACTCGCCCCGATCGCCGCCCACCAGCGACCGGGCGCCGTTCGTCCGTCCCGACACTCACCGTGCCGGAGCCTGGCAGGGTCGGCATCGTCGGCAGCGTCGGCAGCGCCGGCAGCGTCGGCAGAGCCTGCTGCAGCGGCTGCAGCGGCTGCAGCGGCGGCGGCGGCGTGGCGATGACGGTGGGGCGCGGCTCGGACCGCGGCTCGCGCTCGGCCGGACGCGGCGAGCTGCGGCCGGCCTCCTCCTCCTCCGGCGGCTCGTCTTCCTTGTCCTCGCCGTCCTCGGAGTCCTCGTCGCCGTCCGACTTCACCAGACCTTTGATCTGGAGCCGTTCAGCCGCCTGGGGGCAAATACGCGCACATGTAATCGCTCAAATGCGTTGCTACAAATAGTGTTGACCAATCAATGACACCATCACTGGCAATGTTGAGCGGAGGGAAGTGATAAATCTGCAATTGCCGTGGCGCACAGCATTATTCGACAATTGCTTGTTTTTTTTATACAATACGATTCACTGTCATAATACTCTCAAATTTGGCTTCAAGGCGGAATAATGGTAAGCTGGTGTATCTTAAAAAGTGGGTAAGCAGTTCAAGGGCCTCCTTGTCTCCCAGGAGTGTATGCAATATTTTAAAACGAGAGGGAGGTGTCAAAATTGCCACAAAAACCCATTTTTACCGCGCCACCGATGCACGATTTTCTTTGCACGGCGCGTAAAAAGGTAAGCTTTCAGCCCACCTATTTGCACGTGTCGACATCGATTATTAAAGTGGTGACATCAATTCACATGCATAATGATTTCACTGGTGATTTTCACATGCATAATGATTTCACATGATGACAATTCACTGGTATCTCCTCCGAATAGCACATCGCAGACTCAACATCGAGCGTGGCAACTATCCTGCAATTTTAGTTCACAAACGTACATGCATATTGTTTCATAAAATCGCGACAGAACTATCCACCAACTGGAATCATTGCTTTAACATGCAGCATACTTTCCAACTTTACGACGCTTTTTCCGCATAAATGCTCCTTGAAACCATCCATGAAATCAGAATTATCGCTGTAAAATTCATTCTGAGCCACTTCGGCACAGCTGCTCCAATCTGAGTGCATACCAGGAAAGCAGTTTGTGAAGAAGAATAAGGAACACTACGCTGAACTCGAAATATCTGGGGCGGCGCGCGCCATTCAACCTCAGTCCAACTTCGCAGCACTCCAACTATGGCCCATCCCGCCTTGATGCGCTCAGCGCAAGCTATTTTACGCTTTACGACCCCGCTGGGACATTACGTTTCCAGTTCCGACACGCCGCAGAACAAATTAAATTGTAGGACTCAAGCCCTCTGCACATGACGAGCTCCGCTATATTGGGAACCATGACATCACCGGCACATGGTGCGCGAGCGGCGACTGTGCGCCAGGGTGTGCGACGATGTACGGTGCCGGCTGTACAGCGACGGTGATGCACCGAGCGGATATTGTGCCGACTCATTACAGCAGTCGTCGAGACATCGCCTTGCCCTCGGGCAGAGTACCGGGACCAGGTGGAGAGGACACAGTGGACACAGCGGACGCAGAAGACACGCACAAAACACGGCAGGTGGCGGCAGCTACGCTGACGGCGCCGACGGCCAGCCGGCCCGTTCGCCCAATCAAGTCACGTGCTCTGTCCGCCCTCAATCAGTCTGGTCACGTCTCGCGGCACAATGCTGGAGCTGACGAGTTACAACAAAACTTGTGGAACACGGAACAGCCTGCATCACAACCGCGCATCAGGACTCAATTCGCATCGTTTCCGACACATCTTGGGACAGTCCGGCGGCGTCTGCCAGCCTGCAATCGGCGGCGGCGGGTGGCGTGGACTCCACGTCCCAGCCGCACCAATCAGCCGCGTCCGAACCGGCGACCGGCTGCTGGGACTCCGTCGCCTGACCACCGCCTCCACATCACACTGTAGGGCGCGCGCCAAACATCCGCACCGCGTATAAAGACACGGTCCTTCCGAGGCCGTCCTGCACAATGGACCACCGCGCACCGCCCGCCCGCAGGGACTGCACGGACGTCCCATCGGAATGCGCCAATCGGAGCGCCCCTCCCCAGCCCCCCCCCCCCCCTCCTCCGACGCGCCATTATCCGGCGGCGGCGGCGGGGCGGCGGGTGTGGCGGGGGTGGCATCCCCGCTGACTGTCCCCGCCAGCCTGTCCGTCTCCCACGTCAGCCAGCGGCCCGCCACACACCCAGTCTCGCAGCCGTGCCTCGCCGCTCACAGTCACACTGTTGCGGCCTACAGGCGCAGATGCGCACATGAACACCATCTCGGAAGGAATACGGGGGTGGAGTTTGACAAGCTTTCGCCACGGGTCATAACCGCCCGCCAAAAGAAAGGGAAGGGACTCGCAAATTCGGAGAAGGTTGAGGCTAGGTCACGTGTGACTTCGATGACTACCCTGACAACTCTGACCCCACACGGTCATCTGGGGTTAATGAGGGGAACACCACTCCGCGTCCGAAATTCTGACCTCAACATTACGTCGCGAATCCCCCAAAATCAACAGTGAGTTTGGTCGGTAGTATCACAGTCACTTGACATGCACATTGCACGATGCTAATGTTAATGACACATATACTTCAGTACTTTTGACATCCACCTTTCCAAGTATTTCTAACTGACTCGTGCAAATCAATGATAGGCAATAGTGTCCTGGCGCAGCCTCGTCCGGAATTAGCTGCTACCCGCGCTGCCATCCAGAGGCGAAAAAGACTAAGCACCATCAGGTAAATCGTTCAAGAAAAACATTCTTCAGCTTAAGTGAACTACATATTGATACATGTCTTGCAACAAACCTTCAGCATTTTTTGGATGCCGATTTTTAAAAATTGTGAAATCTCATCAAAACATGCAGTTTTCCGTGACACATCAAATTATCATACATAGCTCGAAATCTGAAGACACTGAAGCCTTTTTGCCTTTAGACTGCAGCATGGATTATGAAGGCCAAGCACATACAGTACCAGGGTAAAACACACAGTGTGCGACACCTTTTGACATTCCAGATGATCATGTACAGATCTCCAAAATATCTCCATTAATTGCATCATCCATTTTTTTCAAAGTGCTCTGCAACAACACTCACTTCACGACCAGGACGGATACACCTTTGCATAGCCTGGACATCAAACCCAGCATGAAGCAGCAGCCAGCACCTGGGTCCTGGCCTCGTCCAGATCAGCCGCCCTCACCTTCAGCAGGGCCTCCAGCTGCGCTTGGTCAATGGTGGCCTCGCCGCAGTACATGAACTCGATCAGGGTGCGCATCTCCAGCTCGGTGATCTCGCTCAGCATGACGATCGGCGTCTCCTTGGCCGGGATGTTCTGCGGCACGGGCGCGGTGTCACGCAGGTCGGCACGTCATGCACATGCTGGCCCCCTGCCACGCAAGCCACAGTGCCCTGCACATACCAGCCATGTGCCAGGCAGGGTGGTATCACATGAAGATGCAGGCCACACACAGCTGAAATAGGTTTGCTAGTTCCCTTACAAGTGGATCTGACTGTCAAGCTTCACTTCTGCAAGATGGTGAAAATATAAAGGCTTGAGTAAGTGCTGGTGATTTTGAAGCAGTGGCTACCATATTCTGAGCTTTCCTCCTTTCTCCAATTAATTAATGTATCAATTAATTGAGCCTATCCAGTCCTGTCCATTGGTCTGCTGGATTCAGTATAAGCATCACTACTCACATAGAGCAAAGCAATTTTAGTCTAGAATAGTGCCGACATCCTTGCCACAATATTGAGAAAGCCTCAAACACCCCGAACAAAGTGTGCCAGACATGTGGATTTATGTGTCAGGAACTGCTCACACACAGCTTGGCTTTGATGTTGGCAGCTGGCCAAGAGTCAGGAAAGGCGGCAGGCACAAAATTACATTATATACCATGTTCAAAGTGCCCTGCAAATGTTGTCTATGGAACTGAAGCAGTTATCTTGGGTAAGTGCAGACCAGGTCTTTGCAACATGTCATAATCAGTGTACCCAAACCCAAAGTCATTTCTATAAAATATTCAGTCTCACTCCATTATAGCAACTTAAGGAAACTCAAGTCACTTCAAATATAAGGAAAGACTCAGTGCATACAATAAGTGCACAAATCATGCCAAAATGCAATTCAACGTTACACTGTTCCTGGATATCATAGTGGTGCAAATATTGTGTGCGGCCAATGCATGCTACCTAGGTCATCTAATAAACAATGCACACATAAATAATATATTACATGTCCTGACAGAACTTCCATCCTGTGTTTGACAACAAAGCCATGCCATAAGGGACACCTTTTATGCATGCTTCTTTTGTTAGTCACTTTCTGGGACAAGTGCTCCAAGCCTCCTGACCAAATAAAAAGAATGGTCAACATTGGTGTTACTTTGCCAGTTTGTAATATTATCCAAACATACTCCAAGTACCTGAATTAAGAGATGGTACAGGCACATACTATATTCCAATTCAGTAACAGATTTGAATGTCACCATGCATCATAGCATTAAGTATTCAATGCAGTTGATAGATTCAATTGTTGGATACAGCACAGAACATAATGGCATCCATATGCACATCCCATATTTTGTTTCTTTGAGCCACATTCCACTAGAAATCAAGCAGCAAATAATGATACTTAGATATTCCTGAATAAAGACTAAATAATCATACCAAAAATATGGCCCAATATTTCCACTAGCAGCATGCAGTCATTACAAAATTCGGGAAAAAATGCAAGAAAATGTGTATGCTGAAACATCAAGCCAAGTTTCAGTGTATAATCATGAGTAGAGACTAGACCATGCAGCACATCTAACAAAACATTTGAAAAAATACATGCATGTGATAATGAAGTAACACATCATTGCTTAAAAAAATAGGCTCTAAGTCCCTGCCAAATTTTGGTTCATAGTGTTGGCTAGTTAAGATACCAACACAATCAGTGATCATGTGCCCTAACACCTGGAAGCAATCAGAGCATACACTGTGTGCACAGAAATCTCCTGGCCAACATGTTTGACTTGATGTTCATGACTAAGTCAAGTGTAAAAGATAGCCAACTCAGAAAGTAGGAACACATACTATGTATTTATAACATACATAAGCATGTAAACATATGAGCATTTTGCATACTACATTAAATAATTAAGCCTGGAGGTATCCAAAAGGCACAGTCAGGTAAAACATTACACTACTCACCTGTATAAAAAACAGCAACTCAGGTCTGATCAAAATCATCTACATTCTGATCAATACACATTCCAAAGCCACAATACACTTTGATGGACATCACAAAATAATGATGTGATGTTTTACCTGCAGAGTCTTCTCAAAGTAGGAGCTGCATGATGCAAGCACTATTCGATGTAGTTGAAATACTTGACCGTCACAAGCAACCATTACATCGCTGAACAAGTGACTACTTAATAGCTTCGTTAAGTAATTGTCCCAATTTCGCTGGTATTTGTTCCATTTCAGTGAGAACTGCTGAGTGGACCCCATAGTTCCGCTCTTCCGTAGATGCTCTGCAAGACAACGCAAAGACGACGTTTGAGAAGGCACGTGAAAAGACACGGACTTTCACGCACACCAAACACAAGCGTTACAGCTCAAGCGATTCACCTCCAAGAACATACAAGTCAAGACGAACTGTGGTCAATGACCCTAAATGAAATACCTTTCCCTATCAGGAACACACTACATTGGTCCCGGGGCGTTCACTCCAATCGCGTAAAAATAGCCCAAACAAAAGAGGGCATTGGACATGCAGGAGTACCAGAAAAATCGTATTGAAAAAGACGGCACCACAAACCAAATTATTATCTTCTTCAGCAGCGTAAGGCATCTGCAGCTAAATTGTTAGATTGAAGCCTACAGTGAAATGAACATAAGCATTCACATTTCTGTGAAATGTACCGCCTATAAATATGCAATAACTTCTACTATGTTTAACACATCATTAACTCAATGAATGACCATTAATTTAATAGGCAAAAGCCTATTCTAAACACAATGTCAATAGCCCCCGTGCACACAATAGACATGAATGAACACTGGGAATCGAATGAAACCTATATGTTTACGCCTTCAAAACACCTTGACTTCAGACTCAAATAAGTGCAAACATACTGTGTGGGTCAAAACGATAGCACTGTACTTCGGATGGCGATCCTTCGGCGGTGACTATCAACGAATCACTGGATCTTTCAAACACGCCATATTTTGCGAGCGTGAATTGAATTATCCTGACATTTTACTTGCCCCGAATTTACTGATTTTTTTAAATTTCAGGACATAACAGATGTCTACTGCGGAAGCTAAAAGAAACACTCGAATACACACGACATGATATCACGGATATTTGTGGCACAAAAAATTACTTAAATACATACTTCACGATATCATGGAGCAGCTGTGATTTCAATGGAATGTCTATCAGACCAGTTTACGGGTCAAAAGAGACCAGGTAGTCACGTTTTTGTTCATGTCAGGTTAAATATCCCGAAACAACTTGGTTCCTGTAAATTTTCGCACATGTCCATAGCACTTCCAGATTGTCCACACAAATGAAGTTTTAGGAAGTCCATCAAAACCTGATGGACATGAAAGTAAGTCCAATCGAGCTGTTGATGTACGTCCTGAAGGCGGCACGTCGACGATAAAAAACGTTCTCTCACAGGGCGTACGCACTCCCCACGTAGGTGAGAGGGCACAGTGTGCAGCTGTCTTGATAAACCGTGTTGAATGTCACGCAGGTTTTATCGAATACAGACATGTAGGGAATGCATACAACTCGTTTGATGGGCCATGCCGGGCCTGCACATCAGTGCAATCGGAAAGCTGCATGAAAAATGGTAAGGAAATCAATAATTCATTTGGGCGCAACAATTCAAAATTAGTGATGAATTTGACTTACTCATGCTATGTGGCATAGTAGGCCTTTGAAGGTAGACGACACCGGATGATTCGTTGTTAGTCACCCGATAAGGGATTGCCATCCGCAATATACTGACGTTATTGTAACCTTCTTGGTATTTTTACGCTTATATGAGTCTGATGTCAATGTGCTCTGTATAAAATCAAATATGAATCGACTTGGAGAAGGGTCAGAACTCAGTAAAGGAAAAAACTTGGGCAACGAATGCATCTTCGATCACTGCTAAACCATTCTTTTCTATGATGCCGTTCAAGAAGCCCTATTTGCTATGGCTGGTTTTCTTTCATTGTGGGGGACTTCACCGGTGAGAAAGCCGTCTTGGGACGTATTCTGAGGGCAACTTTGAGCCATTTTCCCACCAATTCTCTCAATGTTAGCCTTTTTCAGATATAAGAGCAACATTAGTATCTGCCACGCACCTCTCGCCTTCCTAGCCACCGCAGTCGTCCATTCAACCACCGTAACATGCCTACTTCAGGTTGCCTAGAAGCTTCATGAACCTGGATCAAACATTCAGTTATTTAGTGTCACTGGAACGGGCATGCATTGCCTACTATGGCTAAGTTACCAGGCTAAGTGAGATAAAGACAAAAAAGACGCCGGATGGTGCGTTCGCGTACGCACGTTTCAGAGTGGGGGAGGGGGCAGGCTCCACTTGTCCTGTGGAGAGCAGCTCCGGCGGCCGTAGGGGGGGGGGGAGGGGGGTGGGGGAACGAAAGACTTTGTTCACTTTCACATGACACATTTTGGAGAAAGGAAAATGCCCCGGTGGCTATACTTTATATACACGTGCAACTGTTTTCGACTGTTTGAAGAATATTACCTACTCAACTCATCCATGGCGTTCGGCAAACAAGACTTCTCAGTTTCCTGAACTTACTAAGGCGTCTTAGCAAGTTTCCAGTGAAGAGACACAATCATGCTACTGGCTAGGCATTTTGGTCCATTGGAAAGACCCCTGAATCCGCAGTTTACGTGTCAAAATAAGACCAATGCAAAGACTGGTCAGAATTTTTAAGTCGAGCCCATGGCCCCTACCGCCCCAATATTTTGTAAGTGCCATGATTCTGCCGATAACTTTTCAGGAGATGAGATTTCAAGCAAAATATTTCAAGCATTTGTCGCAGTATTATGGACAACAACAAATTGTAAACCTTCAAATATTGCCTGCCAAAAACAATGTGAAAAACATGAAAATGGGACTTCTCCTGCAACAAACAACTCACAGATATGAAGGTCCCTGTTTCGGTTATGCCTTGTCTGAGCCCTGCTGCCGTCCGGCGTCGGCGGCCACAGCCCAGACCCGGCCGCTCGTCAGCGACGGCCACCACCCACAACGCGACTGCGGAATAATTGTATGACTGTTTTGGTGCGTGCTTATGGATCAGCACCACTACCTGTTGGTGTGTAGATTTCGGGAGCTGCCCGCCTCAGCTGTGAATTGGTCCACCGTGCGTTCACTTGCCCCCTTCAAAGTAAGCGACTTGAGCCGTTGTTGTAAGAAGCACAAAGGTAGGTACACACGTTTTTAAACATGTTGCGTACCTATATGTGTCGTCGGTCTTTAGCGTCGCCCGTATTTTAGGAAAAGAGTTGACATTTCAGTTTTCATGTATTGCCAGCTTTTCATGCAACCTCCGTAAAACTATCACTAGCACGCTATTTGACTGAAAATTGTAATCGTTATTTGAAAGGCCTAATGAACTGCGGGCTGGACATTTTCTGTAATCACCATCATTACTTCTGTATTTCCCTGACGAGTATATGCCATTTTTAGGCATTTTATGAGACGGCTGAAATGCATGCTGATTAAACCACACTAAGAATACTTTGGATTGTGATTGTATGCTTGATGTACAATTAAACGATCAAGACTGCTCATTAAGCCCAAGTCTGACATGCCAGGACCCATTGCACCAGCTCATTAGACTTCGGCCGCGTGCTTTTCAGTCGTTGGTAAGTTGCGGTTCAGTGGTCATTTGTTGGGGTATTACTCAAATAATTTTATTTGTGCCGGTTCCCGCCGTCGTGTCCGGGTAGTTCAGGCTGCCGACCCCACCCCCCACCCCCCACGTGGCAGGCGCCTGGAGCTGAGTCCCAGGGGAGGCTGATTGATCCAGCACATGCCAGTTGGTGGGGGGGGGGGGGGGGGCGAAAGGGTCTCCACGATTATACGGCATGACGGCGCCAGTGTATTTGGTGGCGCATGAAAGGCTCCTCCGAACGGTTTTAGGCAGTTTTTCCGCCAAAATTGACTTCATGTAGTCTGAAACAGTTATGCGTACACACTGCTTGGACTACGCTACACAAGAAAACCTAAGGCGTTTTTGAAGACAACTCATACAGTGCCACGTACCATGGTAGCGCGGTACCACGCACCGCGACATGGCTGACATGGCTCAACACAGGCAGCACCCAAAGACAATACTGAAAGGTGACAAGCTTCTTCTTTCAAAACTTTACAAATGTGTGACTTACAAGTTTCACAGTTTGCCCGAGCCTAACTGTTGACACAGGGCGCCGAATCGTGTCATCAAAACAAACGCATTGGACGTGCAATGCATTCGCACTTTTGCACAATGCACTTGTGATTAATGTTGCTGCACAGCTTGCCCCTGCTCGACAAGCGCACCTGGTCATCCCCTGTTCCTGAAACCAAAACCGTTCAGAAATGTCTCCCGCAAACTCAAGGGATGAACATCGTTGTCAGCATCAGTGGTTGTTAGTTCCCCTGAAAGCTTGCTTTAAATAAATCGTGCATTTGAAACGGCTGAATGCCACGTGGCTGACGCGCGAAGGAGTAAATATATTTCATTTTATCATATAATGCGCAAGCACAATGAACAACACTGCTGGTTGCCCAAAAACAAATATATAAACAGCTTCACAGCGTAAGATCTACCCGGTTTAGTCGAGGTTTGCTTGAAACGGCCGATATTCTCCCGGCGTTTCATAAAATGCCGAAATGACGCGTCGGTCAGGCGAAAAGTCATCATGGTGCCGACGGCAAACGCCCACGGATCACGGCATTTCCATTACTGCCTTAGCGTAGTAGCGGTAGTTTGCGAAGGTTGCAGGATACGATGACATGATATGGAAACTTAGCTTTTGCTTGACAGGCTGGAATGCGTTAAACACTAATAAGGTATCCATATCAAAATACACAAACCATTTCTGAGGAGACCGTGAGCAGACAGGCAAAACAGTATGAAAAGACAAAACGAAGCTTTTAGTACAAGAGTACTTTTAGAGTTTGCCCCGAAATATCTCCCTTCGCCGTACACGGTACGATAAGATGCTGCTAGTTGTTGTCCAGGCGCGGTTTGATGGCTCGTGAGCTTGATAAAGGGGGCCGAAAACTGCAATGTGGGGGGGGGGAGCTGAGGTCAACATCGTTGCCTGCTGCCCCTCACTTAAAAATTGGGGGATGGTCCCCTTGCCTCACCCTCCACACCTACTCTTTCGCCCATGAGGCAGCTGAAAACATCTCATCTCACACTGTTTTTGCCTAATATTAAATGTATTGCCCTTAAGCGAAATTCATTGCCTCCCAAAGTTCAAGTCTATCTCCGCTCCTGGTCGTAATGGAGATATCACCCTCTGGTGCATCTAAAAAAAAACGGATTAAAACAAGAATTGACGCGAGCCGATCCGGGGTTCTTCGCATGCATGTATTTGTTCATGAACGAGCATTCCATACAAACCTGGTGACTTAAAGTGCTCGCCATGCACCGCAGATCTGCTACTCAGTGACAGCAGTGTCGAACAACATGTCACACCTTGCGATGTCAGCAGATAAACCACGCATTACGAGCATGAATTGTCTTTCGCTTAATTGTGCCGCAGTGATCACGTAGGGAACGACCTCAAGGGCTGGATCGTGTGTCACAGGGTCACAGCTCGTGGCAAAACATCCCACTCTCGTTTACATGCACCTATGTATTGGGACGCCCTTTTCGTGCGCTCAATGCGGCACGGAAACAGCTGCAAACTGCAGATCGTGAGCACTCATGAAGTTGTCATTACGTCAGTGTTTAAATGTTTTGGTCCGATTACCAGGAACGTTTTGAAAAGCTCGGACACATAAATGTTCACGCCTTTAAATCGCATTTATGACGTGCTTTAGTGGGCATGCAGCTAATGCGAGCAATTCGGTTGTCCATGGCCGTCGCCTGAGGCACCCGCTCCTCGCGAATTTTCACGTCGTGGCAACTTACAACAAATAAAAAACAAGGCAGTTCTTTAAGTAACAAACAATGCTCACATGCATAGCAAATCTTTCTCCACCTGCGCACCGTGAGGTCTCTAGCACTAATCGCACTAGCATAGACTTTTAAACTTGGATCGTTAGTCCAGGCCACGTTAAGGTCGTGCAAACCGCTCCATCGAATGTTGGCATTGACCTGTTTGCGCGGTTTGTCATCTACAAACGGGAGTTTCAAACGCACCGGTTTGTCTGCCTTACATTTCTACATTTTCTCCGCGAACTTAATGTAGCGTCAAATCGAGAACGTGCAGCACGAGCAGCAGACCTCACCCGGAGCTTTAAGTGTCCATTTCCGCGGACAAGGATGAACAGTTTGATTAGAATACGCTCATAGGACTGTGGATCAGGCAATGCACGCACTATTCTGTGCATTTGTGATCAAGGAGCTGCTTTCTTAGAAGCCATGGGATGCGCCAAATTGCAACGCGATTTCATGGGACAGTCCAGGGCTTTAAAGTAGAGCTCCGTGGTATCACATTTCTGTGCTACTATTTTCACTCATGGCTATAAGCAAACTTAAAACCTTGATCATTGATCATCCCTCTTGATAGCATCGCCTTATTAGCACCTTCCAGTATTACGAAGGTCGATAACTACCAGCATGATAGCTTTACATTCGTAACGCCGAAACAACGGAAACTCAAAGCCTTGCTTGCTTATGTAGAGATTTAGAGCCTAGATTTAGCTCCCGAACATACACGAACGACTTCCTCCCAAATATGTTGTCGCCTTCTTAACCAAGTTAAGCAGGGGGCTAGAGCCCCTTGAATTTAATGGGCAACTACCCACCTAAGTAGATGCCCAGGCAAAATGACGATATTGAGTCACCCAGCGACATAACGTACTGATCTTGAGCTGATCTGAACAAAATTATCAATAGCACCCAGGGTTTCAGGATGCCGTTTTATTTTTGGGGCACGCAAAGAACATGACGAGCTTTGCCTTGTCGTTGTCTTCGTCTAAGTTAGTTGCATCTGACCGTATTTCGGTACGATGGCTAGCGACCCCACACTGACGGCTAGCCGGCAAGCCCATTTAGAGATCACTTGATGGCTGATGAGTGACGCAGGGCCTCAAAGTTAAACTGAACTGTTTGAGGTATTAGCTGTTGGGGATCATAGCAACTACGATGCGCCCTAAGAAAATGAATGTTTTTATGCCCCACTTTTTATTGGTTACCCAATTCTTAGGTATTCCCCTCTTTTATTCAGTCATTATCCGATGAGATAAACCCGACGCATATGTATCTTAAAACCACATAATAGCTTACACATGGCGACAAAAGCTAAGAGATAGAGCTTACGTAATCATTTTAGCACCTGTGCAAATTTGCAATCGGGACCGAATGGCTAAAGGGAGTGTTTCACGTTTGAAGACATTAAAGCAAGCATAAGATATGATGAAACGAGATCACTTATTATTATTGGTACGCTTTCTGAGTGAAAAACTGCTCCAGACAGCCCAGTTTTCTGTTTAGCAAATATGCTCGTTAGTGTGTCATGGTTTGATTACGTCATCGTGCCTTGCACAACATTAGTTTAAAGCCAGTTGACGGCTGCTATGTCTGGAAATCGCGCTAACGAACGTCAGATATGAACACCTCGACAGTATGTTCTTCTTGGCCTTGATCACTGCATGAGTTATGGAATCGCAGGATATGAATGACGTTATTATGACGTCATGAATGCCAAGGTAGCTTTGAAATAGTCTCCCCGACATACCTTTCCCCATTTTCGCAGGCGTGTAGCCCAGAAACTGGAGGAGTTTATGTCTTAGAAGAAGGGCTGGATTGTGAACAGCACCGAAATGTCTTCAAGATGTCTATTAGAGGTTCCAATCCGTGTAAATACTCTTTGCACAGGTCCCCGATCGGCTCACTCCTCTGGCATGCAAAATGCATACCGTCTTGGCAGAACTGCACAGCAGCATTAGTGCTTTTCGCAACATACCTTATCCTGTTCAGTTTCAGTTGGGAGGCCGTGCCCCTCCTCCCGGTCTGAAAGTCGGGCGGAGGGGGAAGCTGCCCCTCAGTCCCCCTTGTCCTACGCCTATACCCATCGCGCATGGACAGCACGTTACCTGTACTCTGTCTTGGTGGTATGTCCACAGCCGGTATGGCAATATGCTTGAAAATTCAGGCCGTGAACGGACATGTAAATAACATGCGTTGTTGAACAGCGTGCACAGTGTCTTCTTTGGACAACTATCGTGTGAGACCAAGGGCGCTGTCAGAATTTGCAGCAGGAGAGCCATCATAATTTGCACGGTGGGAGGAAGGAGGCGTTTTTCTCGTCCTTCTCTCCATCTCTCAACCTCCACCGGTCTGACCGCCAATGACCATGTCCCAGCCAACTGAGTCACAAAGTCATGTCCGTGCATGCCCCGCACGTCTTTGTTCTAGCCGCCTTTGAATTGCTTTGTCTGTCCGTGTTACATAACCCCCATCGGGACGGTGTGCGTCACTTGAAGTACTTTGTGTCTATGTGCCACATTTTCCAATATCATTATCTCCGGTGCCCCACCTCGTGTGTTTTTCCTTCCTTCTGAGTCAACTCCATGTGTATCCGTAAGTATGCTCCTTGCCATACATGCGCACACCTCTCGTCTGTGTGGACTCATCCATATCCGTTTACATTCACACCTTTCTGCGTCTCCTGATTGCTGTTTGGCCTGATTTGCTGTGTCGTAGCCAGCCGTTTTTCTGCCATACTCCCAATTTCTTTTCCGCAAATGTTTGCCACTGGACTACGTACTTGCCTGTCGTTTGTCGTTTGTCTGACGTGCTTGTCCTTTGTCTCCTGCAAATATGCGCCCACTCGAGTGTGACCTCTTTGCCTGCCGTTTGCTCGCTGTCTTTGCCATTTGTCCCTTGCAAATCGTTGTCCACCCGATTGTGTCCTGCGAATGCATGCGGTTTGTGGTTCGTTTGTGTTGTGTCCGTTTGCGTCCTGCCTGTCTACCATATCGGAAGGAAGCCAGGGTCCGTCGCTGCTGTCCTGTCCAATCGCATTCACGCTACCGTTTTTGTTCAGCATTTTTCTTGAAAGTGAATGAGTGCTGACAGGATTGAGGCAATATCATGCGAAATAATCATATTTCACATATAGGTTGCAAATAACCATCACAATTTGTTTGGTTTAGGTGTGACGGGCTGTGCACATCCTACAATTTTCTTTTTCTTGATGATCTCGAAGTCTGAAATAGAGCTGTCCTTCTCCGGCGCCTTTCCCTAAGAAACAACTGATCTTGGGCTGAATGTGTTAAGACTCACAGTTGGACTCGGGTACAAACTAGGGCTCTGGAACAACTCCTTTTTTCAGCGAGGCAACAACGCATTTCGTGTTGTTCATACACAACCACGGGTTTTTCAGAGTTTATTAAGAAATAACTTATCCATAACAAAGGGTCTTATTGTACACAATATCTCACAGCGCGCAGCCAGTATCACACTCCCCTTGCAATGACGTCACGTGTTGAACCATTTAACAGCTAGACCTTCGCCTCAGCTACACCTCGACTAGTGCGCACCAACATCAAAACCGCGTCTCGAATCGTCCTCCGACCAACAGCGTCGCCTTCGTCACGCGCCGGCCTCAGTGGTAGCCCTTGTTCTCGATGTTGTGCTTGACGCCCCACTTGAAGTTGCCGTCGTAGTCGGTCTTGACGAACGTCTTGACGTAGACGGGGCCGCCCTTATGGTGGTAGGAGGGGGCCGGCGCGTAGGCGGGCTGTCCGTACGAGTCGTCGCGGGCCTGGGCCTGGAGGCGGACGGGCGGGCCCTCCCTCTTCAGCCGGGCCTCCTCCGGCGCACCTGTCCAGAAGGGGAGCACCCGTTAGATGGCGCCAGGGAGCGGTCCGTCACGAGGGGGGGGGGGGCAGAGATGGACGCCGCCCGCGTGGCCGGCGAGCCGGCGATAGGCGTGCGAGGAGCAGGGACGTGGCGATGCACAGCTCGTGACATGTGGCGGGCGCGGGCAGCCAGCCATGCTATCCTACCGAACCAGTTGCATGTTCAGAGAAACGCTAGATCGGCGAGAGGCGATACATTGGTAGCGAGGTGGTGCATACCAGCCACTGGCACAGTCAGGCTGAGCTCTGCAAGCGACGCGCTCCCTGTTCGGACCGCTTAGAGCCGTACATAACCGCCGTCTCATGCCCGCTTATGGCAGTCATCAAGAACATGCCCAATTATGCTGGCAAGCGACTAGACCTTCGCATGCGCGTGAGCCCGAGGCCGGCATGCGGGTTCCGGCCGTCACGCGGCTGGGTCGTTCGGAGTACCGCGAGCCCGGGGTGTGTCACGGCGTGTCGTGCGGTGTCATGCCGTGCGGTGTCATACGCGCGGTGTCAGTCCGGTGTCAGCGGCTGTGGCGTGCTGCGGCGCGGTGCCGGATGCCCCACACAAAGTGTCCGTCCTTGTCCGTCTTCAAGAAGGTATAGACGGGACCCGGGCGGGCGCCGGTGTCGTGGCCAGGCTGCGGGGCGCGGCGAGCCCGGCGCGGCGGCGCTGTCGTCATGGCGACGGGTCAGCCGCCAGAGGTCACGACCTCGTGACCCCCGGCCGGCGGCACGCTTCTGATCGCCGCAGGATCACGCTCGTGTCGCGACTTACGACTTGAGGGAATGTGGTGAAAACAAACGTGATTGGGGGACAGTTTTGCTCAACTTGGCCAATGATTTTCGCAAAACGGGCCAGCACAGGAGGCGATGGGACTGCTCATGATTGCGACTACAAACGGACACGTGCCGTGGGAGACGGGCTTGCTCAGGAGGATCCGTGCGCCAGTTCAGCTTAGCTCAGCTCAGCTCAGCTCAGCACTGCAGCTCAGGCGGCTGCTTCGCGGCAGAATAGCGCGACAATTCAGAGCAGTCGACCAATGTGTTGCGGTCATTAGTTCTTCCAATTTCAAAAATTTTATGAACATGTAGTTCAGTTAAGGCCTTGCAATGGTGTACTATTTTTAGTTTCAGTCAAGAGTTCTCGTGTACCGAACCAAATGACGAATGCAAGAAGTATTACCCCAGAATAAAGAGCGGGACTTCATTTGAGGTTATGCACTGGCACGGTATAGTGAGCAACACCACGAAAAACAGATGCATCACTGAACATGTTTGCACATCATGCTGCGGTTTTCAAGGGAATTGTTACGTTTCTTCTGAGAGAAAACATCAGGAGTGGGCAATCGCGCGCCTTTCATTGACATTTTCACCAATAAATTATCTGAAATTGTGCCGGCAGCTATCCAGGATGCTGTGCGTTCAGTGGAACCGACACGTAGTCCAATGAACCCGCCCAGGGGCTTGATACCTGGCGAAATCCACTGGCGAATCGAGTTCTTCAATTCGCCGCTCGTGCGCTGGTTATTGTCGCGCAGGTCAGGGATCACGGGGTGAAGGACCGCTGCCTGGGAGCAGCCAGCTTTCTCCCCCTGCACCCGGGATGGAATCGCCCACCGCATCGCCGCCCGCCAGCGCCGCCGTCTCGGTTTTAGAGAGCCACCTCTGTGACCCGGTCAGGTGGTGAGAATGGGAAGGGGTCGTGCCAGGTCAGCGTCAGGTCGGGGTCTGATCCACTCACCGGCGGCCACGTCGTCCGGAACCACCGACTGGGGCACGGGCAGGGCCTCCGTGATCACCACCACGGCCAGCAGGCCCAGCGCAATCTGCAGACGAGAGGCAACACATCTGGGTTATCCGCTGCGCGAGAGAAGAGCGACTGACGGGGCGATGGTAACCATTAGGGCTGGGCTGCGTATAGCATTATTAATCACGTGACCAGACAGGGGCCGACATAAGGCCCCGGGTAATAACAACATACTGGTGAACTTTTGCCGTTTGGCAATGTGATGACCCCGGACGCGAATTAAAGTTCTGTTAAAGATGATGTTGCGGTGCGAAGCGGTAACAAAACAGGTTCCTGTGCACTTCACATACTCCTGTGCGCACTGTGGGCTAATCAATTTTTAACAAGTTGCGGTAAGAGCAACTATTCTGCAGTCAGCAAGGGCTGGTATTTGGTCAACAAGCCTCCAAATGTGACATCAGCAGTGGGTCTGGCTTGGCTCCAGAAACGAACAAGGACAGAGCTCAGAGAACAGCATGCGGGGGCGAAGAGAGTCCCACTGTCGATGCGTACGCGTCCGACGCGTGCTCTCAGTAGCACGACGGACAAAGCGCGCCACGCTCGACGCAGCGGCAAGCTGCCACCGCGACTTCAGCCCCGGAAGCCATCCACCACGTCAAGAACCTGGAGCTGCAGTTGCGAAGACTCAGCATCAGCGGCTTTTAATCGGCCGCTCCCAACACGGCCGCCACTCAGGGCAGTCAGCACGTCTGTGGCGGCCGCCACCACCACTTTCCCTGCGACACCGCCTCCACTCGTCACTCACCAGTCTGAGGGAGGCCATGGCTGTCTCGATGCCGGTCCCAACACAGAATGGAGCCTTCGCTTTCCCGGCGGTGCCTTTATACGGCGCGCTCCTGGCGCTGCTTTTCCCGAGCTTTCGAGCGGCGAGGCGGCGGCCGGCCTACCGGAGGGGTTTCTCTGGTGGCGGCGCCGCCGGGTCAGCCGGGCGGGACCCGACAGGCTGTCCTGCACGCCGCTCGCCGGTGTGTGGGGACGTGGTCAAGTGCAGAGTGTGGGCTGGTGGGGCCCGGCGTGTATGTGATGGCCAGGTGTCAGGTACGCGGCTCTGCTTCACGGCTTGCAGCGTGGCAGTCTTTTGGGATTTTTCAAAATCATTTTGGGGATTTATCTTCATAAACGTTGTGCCTAATGTTCATGCTTGGAAATATTTTGTTCCTGAACTAAATATTCCTCCAGTAACTACCCCACGAGTTCCATTCATGTGCGGAGTCGATCGACAAGAACACAACGGCCTTGTAATTTGTTGCGCCCGACCGGCTCTACGCGGCGAACACGCCACTAGCTGCAAACAACTTTACCGTGCAAAATATACTGCACGGAAAAAATGTCAAACATTGCTGCACTCTGTCGCGGACATTAGGACACTCAACATGCAGGGCTGTAATCAAGTGCACTTATCGGTAATTTGACTCGTAACTGCCTTGCAGCGTGATTTGTGGGCTTCATAAGCGGGGCTAGCGGCCGAGCTACGATTTGCCTAAGAGGATGTTGGACTTCCGGCAAGGACGCCTCCCGGCTCCAGGCGACCCTCATTTTCAACAAGCTGGAACTGAGTTTCCTTTCCTTGCTGCAGCGGTGCTGTGCGTCCGAGCCGAGTCGGAGTGCTTCGGTGTTTTATGTTTTCTTTGATTATGAACATTAGAGGTGCCTGTGATGGGGACACGCCGGCCACTCCTTTGCATCTATGTGAGTCGTAGATTCCAAGAGGAAAACGAAATGAATAGCCGTATGACGCCGAAAACAGCCGTGATGAAAAGTAGCGGGTTTGGCACCGGGAGAGACTACCCCCGGACAAAGGAGGGAAGGGGGCTCTATTCCCACTATTCTCCCACTGGGTGCGTCACTGGTGCATCTCTTTCCCTGAACAGCAAAACACAGACAGTCCAAAATCATGTAATTTATCCTTTAACAGGGTGGACATTCAGACAGAGTTCAAGTATGAAACAAACCCTCTGCAAGTTCACCTCACCACGTCCACACTTGTGCAGGGATTCACGTCCTGACACCGGAGACCAGGTCACCGGACGCCAGTCACGCGCCATTAACCCGTCGCTCTCCCCGGTCCCCGCTCCCCCCCCCCCCCCCCCCCCGCCCGCCCGCGCCCGACGCCATCGTTTCACGCGTGAGGTGACTATCAGGCGATCGGCGCCTCGTGAAATCGGCTCCTGCTCTCCTGGCACGTGGCACCCTGTCGGCGACGCCGCTGTAGAGCCGCTCGTCACCGGACCCGGCGGTCTGTGACGCGGCGAGGCGGACACGGTCTGGTGATGTCGCGAGAAGACGGCGAGGAGGGCACGGTCTGTGACGCGGCGAGGTGGACACGGTCTGGTGATGTCGCGAGAAGACGGCGAGAGAGGCCGGCGAGAGGGCACGGTCTGTGACGCGCGAGAACACGGCGAGGAGGGCTCGGCCTGCGACGCGACGAAGCGGATAGGTCTGGTGATGTCGCGAGAAGACGGCGAGGAGGACACGGTCTGTGACGCGGCGAGGTGGACACGGCCTGGTGATGTCGCGAGAAGACGGCGTGACGGCGAAGCCGTCCTACGGAGGCGCATGGGTCTGGTCGGAGGATCATCTGGGGGGGGGGGGGGGGGCCTAGGGTTGTTAGGAGTAGGTAACTGTGCCCGAGCGTGGTGATGTTGACAAACGGCGAGAGAAGATGGATCTTAGTCAGGGTGGATGATGGTGGATTCCTGACCGGAAGCAATTGCTGGGTTGTCTGCGTCACTCTGGAAGGTGCCGTTAACAAATCAACTGTTAGCGGCTATTGCCTGCCGTTAGATACCTCTAATTCAGCCCTAATGCAAGCCTGCCGTCAGTGAGGGTTACCGATAGTGCCAATGTAAAATATGCGGTCATTGCAAGCAATGACAGGAGAATTAACGCAGAACATTCCAAGGCCTCACACAGCTCATCAAACGAGAGGTTTGACGCCGTTTTTATAAATTGGGAAAGATTCCTCATTCCAGCTGCACTTGCCGATGGGTGGTGCGAAACTTAGCGGTTACTTGTGGACTATAAACGCTGCCTTGAAGCAGCGGGCTTTCTCGTGCTTCATGTCAATGACTGTTTGACAACGTCGTTTAACCATTACCTCCTGGTATATCGAAGGTCGGTTGTTTTCGACAGGAGTTCGTAGGAAAACCAGGATGCCGGAAACCAAGACCTGAGGCCATTGTGTATTAACATTACGAGCGATCTTTTCTTCTGATAGTAAAAAGCTCATCATGCTGACATTGAAAGCTACAATGTACGTTATAAGCAAGCATGCTCTTATAACTACCCATATTGTCATGTACTAGCGCAGCCCAGCACACTGGTGCGCATATCTATATGCGGAAAGTGAAATGCATAAATGAACGAAAGCATCAGGAAAATTGTGTCTTCACTGTTCGCATTTCTTTCCATGTTCTCTTCTTGTTCCCTTGACTTTCCATCCCTGCTTACAATTTCTTTCCCCTCTTTCTCTAATTCGCCGTAATGCTGTATCTTTCCTTCTCAGCAGGCTATGACTGAACGCATTATTCATTTCCACGAACCTGTACACATTGAACGCTGGTCGCGGATAATAAAAACAGCTTAAGGGCTTAGCTTTCAGTAATCTGCTGCTCGATGACTGATACCTTATTTCCTCTGTGCAATTAAATGACTTTCAGGCTGCCTTCAATTTTTCCATGAGACCATCGAGTGGTTATCAATGTGCCCGCAACAGGTACTGCAAGCGTGCAGGTTAGAGCTGCTTCATCTCTGCTTCACGCAACTCGCCCTCAACGCCATGCATATGGGCATTGTCTTTGAGTGCACGAAAAACTTGCGCACGTTAGAGCAAATACATGGCCCTGCATCCTCATGCTATTGAAACTGGTGGTAGAAGATCGGGGGAAGGGGGGGGGGGGAGCGGAGCAAGTAGCGTACCCATATTCCGTAAATCAACGGTAACAAACGTGCGGTCAGACCCGCACAGTGCCGCAACTGGACAAAAACAAACACCGCCCCACACAGCATCACTATTCAAGGCCTTCCCATTTTGCGCATCATATTGTCATACCATATCATGCCCATATCGTATGCCCATATCATGCCCATATCGTCACACGTTGATACCGAAACTTCCGCCATTTGAACGTCCACGCAAGCTCGCGATGCAAGTGGTGGGTACGAACGTGTTCTGGTTCGGACCACGGCTCGCTGTTCTCTGTTCTCTGGCTCGCTGTTCCCTGTGCCTCTTATTGGTTCACGCTCTCAGTTATTCATGAGCTCTCCAACTGTCTGCTCGATGTATGCCTTCACGCCGCCGTCGGTCCCGGCCAGGGGCGGGACCGACACCGTGTAAAAACAACCATTGCTTGGTAAACAGCAGTTAAATCTCGGGAGACATTGTTTCGGCCGGGAGGCAGTCCAGAAACAAAGGGTGCCGGTTGATAACCTGCGGTCACGGGTCGCGTGACGCAGGGCGTGACCCCTGTTTCTCTCCTTTGGTTTATGCGTGTGGCCTTACAGCTTTCTTTGTCGTAGATGCACCCCTAAGATTGCGTCGCTGGCTATTTCTCTTTCCTTCGAGATCGCCTCTCTCGCGCAACCGCACGATTCTCCTGCCCTGCCACATTTCCCAACGGCGTCATCAGCAGCGCACGCCTCTCAACAGCCCGCTCTCAGTCAGGCCGCTCCTGTGCGAGCCTGCCGTGGCCGCCCACTGACACCCCACGCGGTCAGCCTGGTTGCGTGACGGACCGCCGCGGCCTCCGCGCACACTCATCCGGCCGCCGACGGACTATTGTGGCGCCCGACCGGCCATATGGCGGCCTGACGCGTCCGCTCGGGGCGAGTTCCTTTGTGCGGCGGGCGCCGCGCTCCGAGTAACTGCTCATTGTTGTAGCTGCTGCGTGCGAGGAAGGGTACTCATCGTGCCGCAACGGTGCTCAGGGGCGCGCCCAGGCACGTGCTCGAGGAGGGCGTCATGAACTAGATGTTGATAATCGTGATCAATGATGTTGACACCTTTGTTGCTCGGAGTTGATCTCGAAGTCATCCTACCACAGAATTGTTTCTAGTTACGCCTCTGTCATCACAGCTGCGTCCGCGTCGCAAAGGCTTGTCTTCTGACTTGACTACGCTCTCACTTACCATACATTGTTGGTGCAACTTTTTCCGCAGCTCCGTTGTTACCCCGCAGCTGGCTTTTGGTCGTCACTTCTTTTTCCGGGGAGGAAGTGCACCGCCGATTGTTTCAGCTAAACGGCTTTGGTCAATGTAGCTAAACCCGCGGCTGCTCGCGCATTATGGGATAGCAGTATCATGACGTGGTGTTCGAAATCATGGCATCATGACGCGGCGTTCGAAACGCATCTCACCATCACTAGGCGCATCGGCTGGACAAGGGTGGAGGAGATGGTGCGCCGCCACGACTTTGCGCAGAAGCAAAAGCCATAATGTATGTATATATACATATATATATATATATATATATATATATATATATATATATATATATATCCATGTGTGTACATACCGCAGTCAGTACCTCCCAGCCATATCGCACACGTCTGTTCGTCGCGCCCCTGTATCGTCGCTCGACACCCGTGCCGCGGTGGCCGGGATGCCGCAGCTCCCAATGTCTCGACCATGTCAAAACTCAACGGGAGGTGGCGTACAGAGTCGCATCATTCTGAAACACGCCAGGTCAACGGAGTCGGCTGCCGGGGACAGCAACGTGGATGTCACTGCACTGCACTTGGACGGTTTTATTGTGATGCATGTATTCATAGCCAGCGTATTAAGTAGCACCTGTATTCTATTTTTGCTGTTACATTGAATGAT